CCATCCCCGCCTCTTCGACCTGTTTGTTTCCTCTCCACCTATCCTCTCCTCTATCCCTCTTCTATCCGCCTCCCACTCTCTCCCTATTTATTTCAAAACCCCCTTCCCCTCCCCCTTTTCTGCTGAAGGGTCTAGGCCCGAAACGTCAGCCTCTCTGCTCCTATGATGCTGCTTGGCCTGCTGTGTTCATCCAGCCCTGCACCTTGTTGTCTCGGATTCTCCAGCATCTGCAGTTCCTACTACCCCAAAAGACATCAATCCCAGTCTTGCCCAGATGTAACCCATCCTGTTCACCTGGTCCCAATGTCCCACCAAAGTGGAACTAGGTGTAGATTTAAAGCAGTTTTTTTGTCGGTGTCTCTTTTGCACCTTACTAATGAGCCCTGTATTAAGACATGGTCACGAGGGACAAAGAAGCAGCACTGCAAAAGCTTGCAATTTCAAACAAATCTGTTGGATGATAATCTGGTGTTGTGTGACATCTGACTTTGTCCACCCTAGCCCAACACCGGCACTTCTATATCATGACATCCCATATAGCACAGGAGGAGTACATCCATGGGTTTGAACTCTGCTGCCATGGATTTCTTTTTTAGATTCAGCTCTTCAGTTACCCCATTTAAAGAATAATTTTGCCAGGGACCTTTTCCCGCTGTGAACACTCCCTCTACAGTGTAAAATCCCTATTTTACTGCAGCATTTTAATTAGTAGGAATAATAGTAGTACCCACCTGTCCCTACTCCAAATGCTTTCTAATTTAGAGCTATTTAAAGACACAGCTTACCAGCAATATCTCACCCCACTACAAGCACACTCACCCAACTCTCCACTCTCACCTTTTCTAAACAGTTTACCACTGTACTCCCATACTACTTGAAACTTCATTTCCCCCAGTCCACTCCACTGTGATACTGGCTTACAGCAAATTCTCCTCATTCTGCTTCACAGTGATGCTGTCTGCTCTTCTTAGCCCTCAACATCTCTGCCATTTTCTGGTCTTCCCATTATGAATTCCCCAGACTCTCTTGGAGGCCGAATATTATCTTCGGGTACGCTTTTGTCTAAATACGAGTAGGAATACATATAACTAGCTTAGTTTTT